TAAAGCTGATGCACTTCTATTAGAAACAGTACGTTACCTGAGCATCTAAAATGGTAACTACACCAGGCGTGACTGCATCACTACCCACATTTAATGCTGTTGCTCCAGGAGAGCCAACAGTTCCAACTGGACTTCTTTGCACTCCTGTTCCTCCAGCTCCACCAGTTAGAGAGCTCGCCACTGTTTCCCCAAGTTCCCGAAGTCCTTTTCCTAAACTTTTGGCTGCATGAAGAACTGTTGCAGTATAGGACTGCACACCTTCTCCTTCTGAACCACCAGATGAACGCCTCGCATGCAGTAACTGACGTTCGGCATAGGCCAACCATCGAGAACCCAAAGCAACAGGGTTGGGGTTGGGGCCTGGACATGGGTAACATGTAGTAACAGTAAGCCGGTCTTCAAGGGTACAAGCGTCGAACACTGCTATTCGCTCAGGAAATGTCACTACCACTGAACGTCGATTTGCCAGAACATCACTCACAGGATTCTTGAATTTTATGCTCTTCACCTGAATATCATAACATGACAGATTAATATAATATTTGTCTTTAGAAGCTAAAATTTGCTTATAGTTAAAAAAAGACAAACTTATTAACATTAAACATCAGTCGCATATTAAACTTTCAACCACATTCAACTTTTTTCTTTACTTGTAAATTTGAAATTTGATTTTTTATTGATTTTTTGAAAACCTAACTTAATATGCAAACTAGTGGAACTATGATTAGTAACTACAACAACAAAGAATGGTAAAGCAAGTTGTATGGTTGTCTTCAAAGTCAGTATGATTTCAGGGACAGTTTCTTTGATAAAAGTAAGCTTTTCTTGCTTCAAATGCTTCTCTTATTACAACAATTTACAATTCAATGAACTTTCCTACACAATAAGTTGTAAATATACTTCTGTACATTTTAACTTTGCAACTGCCATTTAGACAGAATCTCTACATTTCCATGGCTGACACTGATTCCATCAGTTGAGAGTCATTATATGCCCTGACAATGCTAATGGATCCATGGAGTCATTATATGCCCTTACTTGCTAATGGAATGTAAAGGGCTGCGTTGCCAATGGAATGCATATCCCAACAAAGGAATGACTGGGTTTGAAGGATGGGTCATTATGCCGGCAGGCTCAAATGAAACGTAAGAGATTGATAGTTTGTAAATTACTATTATTTCTGATAAAGGTATCTTTGGACAGAAAGCTCTTTACCACACCATGTGCTTGCTAGTTATTAATGCTGAAGAAAGAACTCCAGAACTATAATTAAATGGATCAAAAGCTCAATAAAAAGACTTTTTTTACACACAGATGGATGAACAAAGTGCAGATTTTTTCTCTTCGAAAAACATTTCTCAGGGCATGAGATCCATCAAATTAATTTGAAAGTGCAAATATACATTTTATATTGCAGTAAAATCTAGTAATAATTTTATTATTAATTTTATGGTAGGCTCTACAAATTATATTTATGACTACAAACCTTAGTACAATCATATTTTTACAATTACCTAAAAAAGTAATCACCCTATTAAATTATGAGTTGCAATTTTAAGTATTTTTATTAATAAACTTCCAAAGAGGCAATATGAGCATTTCTTTTTATTTTCTTCCCCCACAATATTCTGATAACATTTGGTCTTACAATTAAAAAAGCATTACAAAAAATTAAGTTCATATATCATTCATTATTGTTTCCATTGTTTGCAAGTCATTAAGTCATAAAAAAGTATCAAGTAATCACTTTCTCTTGGAGATATGTCTTTTTTTGTGAGTTTTGAGTAAATTGAAGTTCAGTAGTTTTTAAAAAAATTACATTAGAATATTTCTGTAAGTTATAAAGCGTGGCTTGATGAAGTGTACTAAATGCAGATGATTTCTGAACAAACAAAATTACAAAATGCAAATCTACAATTATCTTGTGTAGAAGGCACTAGGGGATAAACATACCAGGATGCAACACATACCTGGTTTCAGTCCCAGGTTCCAGTACCACTTGAGCAGGTCAGGCTTGTCAGGAAAAGGTTTGATAGGTGATGCACAAAGGATAAATAGGTCAATAATACCCCAACACATAGAACAACCATGCCTGTACAGAACTCAAACCTGCGACCCCTCAAACAGAGAACACTACTTCCTTAGTGATCTTGGTCATCTGGGTCAGCGTATTATGTCACATAAAAAAGGGGGGGGGGAGTATCATATAATATTCACAAGGTAAGGACCTAATGTTTAGAGGTCAATCTCAACTGCGGGGGATGGGGGGTGGAACTCCCCTGACATTTGGTTCCACTCCAAGTCTATACGGACCACATGAAAGCTAATTTCAAAGCTTGGGGAATGGTTTCATTTGTATATTCAATACATCTTCATCAACTCTTTTGCTAGTTAAAACAAATTTGTGTACAGGGCAAGTACAATAAGTAGAATAATACCGAGAATTAAAGCATGGAGACGAATAGTTTACTACAGAATAGGAGAGTAATGAAAGAATGAAATATATATTCAAGGTGTAATTAAAAAACAATATGCTGAACAAACCTGATCCCCACATCGAAGAGAGATAAAACTGAGAGAGCAAAATTGTGGACCAGGCCCAGCACTGTCACACAAAGCTACAAGAGGTCTTTTGTGACCGAAAGCATCAGGGACAGGGCTGTCTGCCAGAGGGGTAGGTAGAACTCTCAAGGTCCGAACAACTCCTTGCCTCCATGATAACACTTCTGTTGCTTCTCCACTTGCAGGAATTGCCCAGACCTGTAAAACAGAATCAAGAATTTCAGGAGAGAACTTAAGAGTGTGAGTATAAAATAAAATTACAATTTTCTTTACAAAAGATAAATTTTTTACCTGCTATACTAGGGCTTAATAAAGTTACTACCTTATTTACAAAAAAAAGTAATTTTCCTATGCAGTTCAAATGTATTTTCCAACTTTAAAAATTACTCAATTTAAAAAAAACAACTTTAAAGTTAATTTTTTACCCTTCTTGGGCACTAACAATAAATCAGAGGTATAATTGTTAATAAGTTCATCAAAATATGTATTGTACTAATGTTCTTAAAACCACGCCTAGAATATGAAATAATAGTTATGATATGCAGAAAAATGAAGAAATCTATGAATACAAAAGAGAAATATCAATATTCATTTTCATCAGCTCATAATTAGCATTACATTTTAATAGCTTTATTATTCATCAATATTTCAACAAGTTCTCAGCTAAGAGGACAAACAATTGAGTCACAACTGACATTTTTTGATATCTTAAGCAATTTTAGTATAGTGAACATAATGCATAATTTTCATTTTTTTTCTTTATTCCTGGCCAACAGAAGTAATTGATGCTGACATAATTATTGGTTCCAATACTATTACTACTACTACTACTACTACTACTACTACTACTACTACTACTTCTACTACTAATACTACTGGTATAACTACTACTACATATTTGTGGTTTCAATACCTTTAAAAAGTTTGCATACAAAGAGGAAAAAATAATCATAAAAGAGGAAGAAATCTGTCTAAACATTGGATTAAGAATTGCTGCCTCTTTATTTTGTATCAGAGCAGCCACATCTCATAGTCTCGAGTTATTTCATAACAAACTGTTTATCATCAACATTCACAATTCACAATGCTATCATCATTCACAATTCACAATTTTTATGATAAATAAATCAAATAAAATGAATGGTGTTTAAAAATCTAGATGCAAATACTTCCACTTCTATAAATACCAACATATTCTAAGATCTCATGAAATGGCACATGTTTTAAGTTCAACAAATATTTTTAAAACATTACTAATTATTCTTTTGGGTACATTTCACCAATAAGAACCTTCACATTTTTTGTCAGCATTGAAGGAAAAGAACAAACTTCACTTAAAATTATCAAGTTTTAGTAATAAAACTGTACTAAAAATAAATGTAAGTTCATAAAAATGATTTACACACCAGCAACAAAGAAACCGTGTTGTTTACCTGAACTCCGCTGCCATATCCCAAAACAAGCAGAAGTGGAGCAGTACTACTTCGATCATCAGCAGAATCTGGATACAAAGCAGGATCATTTATGTCCCCATATTCAAACCGGGCCCATGTGATAGCTTCCTTTCCTTCACCAGGTGGAAGACTATATGCCTTAAAGAGAAAATTAAATTTTAAGTCCCACTAATTTAAAATGTCACCTGCTTTAATACTTAAAATTGTAGTTACCTGTGGAACAACTTCATTAATGAAACCAGCTACACTTTCAATAATAGAACGGTCACTAACAGGCTGTGGTGCAACAACGTGGCCACCACGACTGGATGTTTTGCGAGGCGATTCAGCAGACATTGTCATACTAAAGAAAACAGGAGTCATAGAAATTTTCATTTTAAAAAGTCAAGGTTGACAAAAATAAATTGAAATATAATTGGGAAAAATTATTTCTACATACAGCACTAAAAGACTACATTTAGTTTCCAATATCTTCTATATGATCTTTTAAAAAATTCTACTCTCCTTTCTTTAGAATTTCGAAGACTAATTCAAGAATTTTTTTTCACAAAAATTTAAAACTGGCATGATTTTCCAACAACATGTCTGTAGCAATTAGCTATTTACAACTTTTCTCGACGTTTTTGACTCTCTCCGAATTCCGAAAGTGGATGTCCTTCAACTTATTCGCAGACTGTCAAGCCCTTTGTTACGAAGCTCTGTCACTTATTCGACGAGATGTAGCAATAATTCCATTTATAGACACCTTTGGAAATTATGAAATTCATATCCCAAAAATGAGTATGCTGTTTTTTGGTAATGACACAAGCTTAATTGGGTACAATAAGCTATTTTCGAATAACTGTAAGCGTATTATGAAAGCAACATCGTCAATGCATAGTCTCCCTTTTCATCTTTACGAAAAAAGAGAAAACGAGCTATCACGTTCTTGGACTATTACAGCACAATATATTGGATACAATGGGTTTAGTTAAATGCACTCACTGTGTCCAAAATAATGTTTCATGTTGCAAAGTGCTTCTTTATTTCCACTGCGTCATTGTACTCGCTTGTACTGGTAGACTGACAAGACTTGACAGACAGCTGTAAGCAAACGTGACGTCACACCAACCCAAATAACAACAACTGCTGAACCAAGCACGAATGGAAAGTAAGAGAATGAAAGAGAAATGAAAGTGAATGCCGTAAACTGCTACGAAAACACACTGGCTCTTAAACAACAAGGTATTTAAAATAAAAAAATATTGTAATATGCTCAATAGCTGAGATTCGTTCAGCATTATATTGGGGATGCTAATATAAAACTTTGTTTAATAATTATAATAATGAGATGATAATTGCTACACTCGTATTTGTACATTCTCGCATACTACTTAGGGAGTATAGAGAAAGTATTGTTATGCCGCAGGGAAAAATAGTATTGTAGGGTCCTAGTACCGATGAATTAGTTAAATTTTTTTTCAATACGTAGTAAATTATTTACATTATTAATTTTTCATCATGGTCAGAACCCACATTTTGTAAGTTCTTGACACCGAAATTAGTAGTGCAACAAATTGCTCACACTTTCTCGCATTAGTTACTTTTCTAATCTCTTTAGCATGCTGACTCTTTACTAGGGAGTTTGTGCACCCTTCAACGTTAAAGTACTATCGATCTTGTGCGCATGCGCAGTTCAAATTTCGCATCACTTTAGTGCGATTACGCATGCGTAGAAGATCGATAGTGCTGCCGCTATGGCGGGCACAAACTCTCTATTATGGGATCGATAGTGCTTTAACGTTCGAGGGTACACAAACTCTCTGCGACTTCCAATGTTAAAGCACTATCGATCTTCTGCTCATGCGTAGTTCAAGTTTCGCACCACTTCAGTGCATCTGTGCCACCGCTTTAGTGCACCGGAAGATCGATAGTGCTGACATTATTGCGTGCACAAACACTTAATCGACTGCAATCTCAATCTCCTACGCATGCGAAGATCAATTGGCCCCTAACGTTTGATGGTGCATAAACTCCCTTCTAAACTTAAATCGACTGCAATCTCGATCTATGCACGGGCAGATGCACAATGGAGAGTTTAGATATTGGATTGTAGAGAGATTGTGCATGCCATAGTGAATAGCACTACCGATCTTCTGCGCATGCGCCAATGCACTAAAGTGATGCGAAACTTGAACTACTTATGCGCAGAAGATCAATAGTACTATCCGCTATGTGGGGCATAATCTCCCTAATAGTAGGGAATTTGTGCCACCTCGAACGTTGAAGTACTACCAATCTTCTGCGCATGCGCAGTTATTATTTTGTACAGGAAAAGGATCTCATCCGACCATAAATAATTAAATTTGAAACACTTCTACATAAGATTACATGAGGGGGAAATGTTATAAATGCAGATTAAATCTTTCTAAAGAGAAAATAATTGAAATGAAAAGATTTTACCGTGTTAGTTTGGACAAAAACACAAAAAGAAAATCACAATTGTCATCAGTTTTTCGTGAGAACGAAAAATCGCGGCATCGTTGCATGACGTACCACTCGGCGGGAATTTTAAATATTGAAAAACTGAGCAAGGCATTGCTTTGTGAGCTGACATGCGTGTACGGGGTAATTTAAGATAAATTATTGTACTACGTTTTAATGGTGTTAAAATGTATTTCCCAAACAAATAGAATGTGAACAATGTACTAGAAAACAGACTTTTTCACAAAATACATAGATCTTCTTAAAAAATAGATCTCCTTGAAGTAATTCCTAGAAAATTCCAGATAATTTACCTTCCCTACACAACTGAAAAATGTTATTTATATTACTTTAACTTACGTTTTGTAACAAATCGCCCTTTAAACCTTAACTGTTCGCTACTTCACGATGGCATTATGTCACTGTATTTCGCGTCTTTCTCGGTGGTGTCGCTAGATGCAGCATTATCGCGACCGTATCTAGCACTGCTGACATTTTTGTTGATTCTAATCGATAGAAAATTGAATTTAAAAAAATGGAATCGTTTTCGAGAAAATGGTGTTTGAGCGTCTTTGAAAATGCCTAAAATTGAGTTACTTTTTTCACATAACGTTTCAGTTTTCAAGAAACTTCATATGAAATCATTTGAAATCCATGTATTCACCAATTCAATAATGTATTAAAAATGTGTAAATATTGTTTTTATTAATAGTATTATAAATTATTATTTTTGTATTTTTGGATTATAAAATAACCTTTTCTGTTGAAAAAATCGTTCATAATCGGGCATTTTGCGGCACAAATAATGACGTAATAGATTTGATGTCACGAATAATTCTGATCCTCTCAATTCAAATTTTGATGAATTAATGCTCCCAAAAGTTAACAGAGTTTTGCTGATTCTTTAAGTTTTGATTAATCTTATTTATTGTATGATAACATCAATTTTTCAGTTTTTCATTGTTTATACAAAGCAAGTTGGCAGAACATCAATTTGACAATATCTTAAGTGTGCAATATTGCCGATTCTAGCATATCTTTGGAACTTTCCTTAAAACAAATAGTCAGCAAAAAGTTAACTATGGACAAATTGCAATGCAATATTGTTACAGTATTATAACACACACACACACACACACACACCCACACACACACACACATCTATATATATATATATATATATATATATATATATATATATATATAACAAAAAAGGATGCTCCCCGAATTGATCCCTTCAGGTACTCCGTGTCAAACAGATAGGTAACTAAACCCTTTACCATCATAAACCACTTTATGAAAACGTCCACATAGATAACATTGCATAAGTGACACTGCTCCGTCTTCAAAACCACAGAATCTTAACTTTTCTAAAAGAAGTGAGTGAGGTGAAAATCAGATCTACGCCATTTCTATAAGTGTACTTCACTCTACTCTTACAGGACATTGAAAGGAGAACTTAGGAGCCATTTTTAAGATGTCTCATGGGCTTTGTATAAAGCAGGACCCCCAACATTTAAAGAAAACTTTTCAAAATTTCAGGGTTTCGAGCCGGGTGATCTCAACCAGGGAATATGCATTACTTTTGTGATGTTTTGTGAAAAAAACTATTTCGGTACCGGACCCCAAAACGTTCATTTTTGAAATTTCAAAATTGATTTTCCTTTCTCCAGACTACGCATATTACTCCGTATACGATAGTACGTAGTGTATGAGAAAGTAATTTTTAAAAATTCTCTGCATTAATCAGCCCCGGGGCTTTACACATGATTGTTTCAGAGAAACAAAGTACGAATATATACATGTATCAATCATCTTTACAAATACGGTTAACCCAACGAGCTAGAATGTAGTATACAGAAATTTTTCGAAGCTCCGCTTGCGGGACATCAGCCTTTTTTAGGGCTTGATGAGGCACAACAGCCCCTTTCAGAACTAAACTCTTCAAGTCCTTTTTAGGACTTAAAACTTCCGTTCTTTTTTTAACGCAGTTACTTTCTTCTAAAAGAGCGTAAGTGCCGTTCCCATTTTCAGTAACGGAGAACGGCTATAGCGTTCAACGGGAGCGGTCCTGCGTGCTTTCGGACCGGGGTGCCTTGGTCTTCTCGACCTACGGCGCCTCGGATTTGATATTGCCGGAGGGCCTTGCCGCGTTCTACGACGCCACCAACACCAACTCGCAGCTGAACCAGCCGCCACTTCAGCCAACATCATGCCGGGAGAAATCCCAGACGCCATTAATCAGCAGGATTTCTCAACCATTCAAACGACCCCTTTAGAGGACAACAAAAAAGCAGAAAGAGCAAAGCCTTGTGCATTGCTAATGCCCTCAAGGCTTTGATGCATGCCGACGAGGACGGATGCCTTGCCCTGGTGAGGACCGATTCGGTCGCGCTCTTCGCAGCCAAGCTGACACCTGCAGAACAGAGACAAATCAGCAAAGCCGCCGCCAATCAAATTGCAGAAAAAACAAACCTGCTGTCTGCTGCAATAGGGGGGCTAACCACTCTGCAAACTATGCCGGATGCAAAGCCCACAAAGCCCTAACAGGCAAGAGCAAAAACGTTGAGCGGAAGCAGTCAAAACTGTTCAGCCGAACCCACAAAAACCACACCACACACGCAAGGTAGATAAGAGCACTACCTTCACGAAAGCGGCGCTCTTACTACAACAACACCCTGCAAGCAGCGCGCGCAGCAAAGGCGGCGAGGAAATGTAATGTCCGGAAGGGTATTCAAGAGAGAGTCGCGCGCCGCCCACCTGGAACTAAATGGCATGGCTATCTACCGCACCGACCGCGATGCTCGCTATCGCGGAGGCGGAGTAGCGGTTACCGTAGGTTGCTCTTTGCCACACCGTCCGGCAGCTTTACCTCGCCTCGTGAGGCTTGAAGCTGCAGCGGTTGTGGTAAACACGAAGGAGGCAAAGTTGCACTGGTGGATATATATACTCTCTGCTGGTGTCTGCATACTTAGTACCAAATCGTTCTCTCATAGATGACGATTTGTACACTGGGTTCTCCCTAGCACCTCGCAGGGTCTTGGAGGGCGAGGATTGGGGCTGTAACACAACAAACAGCAACGGAAACTTACAAGTTTCCTGCTATCACACAACACTGTTTAACTTATCCCGCCCTCCACACCTACCCGCTTCCCCACTGACCCTCGCCTCCGACCCGAAATCCTCGATGTGGCACTCACTTCCAGTCACTATTCACAAACCCAATCTCTTTACCCTTTCCGATCACATCCCCATTACCTTCACGGTTGGTAGCACTCGCGCCCTCCGCGGCCCTAGGCAGTGGGTCCCACAACCCACTGACTGGGATGAGATTCGCAATCAACTAACAGCACTACGTAAAAACTATATACAACATACACGTACCAAAACTAATTGGGATGGGGCGATAGTTAGTGATCACCGTATTATCCTTACCCTCTTTTGGTATAAGGATGGTGCGATTAGTTTTCCACCCAGAAGGCACAAAGCCACTGTATAAAATTTGGGTACAATAGGGACAATATTTCAATTTTTGCTCCTGAGGATATGTGGCTAACTTTTATTTTGTGAGGTCCAGAAGCCGTGGCATTTTTCATCCCAGCCAGACGACTTTTAATTTCGGCAACTTGCACCGCGTATAGAATTGTGTCTGGGTCTATTTCAGGTGTCAACAATGTATCACTCTCTTAATTCGGAAAGCCGAATCGAAGGCGTGTTACCCCAGATGGATTTGTACAGGTCATTAACC